ATTGCAACCCTCGGTGTTGCTCCCGCGCCTTGCTCAGCCAGTGAGCGGGAACCGGTCTGTATGTGGGATCCGAACCCTCGGACGGGAGCACCACCGCGCTTCCCAAGCGGCGCACTTATCCAGTGCACCACCAGGCCGGCCCTCAAACAAAACTTCTACACGAGTGTTTATAGCAGTATTATTCACAATAGTGAAAAGGTGGAAACAACCCAAATGGCCATAAACTGATGAATGGATAAAGAGAATGTGTGAGTTGGCCAGTTCGCTCACTTGGTTAGAGCATGGTGCTGATAACACCAAGGTCAAGGGTTCGGATCCCCATGCTGGCCAGCCGCAAAACAAAAAACGAAAATTGTGGTATATTCATACGATGAAATATTATCGAGCCATAAAAAGGCATGAAGTACTGATACTTGCTACAACATGGATGAACTTTGAAATGTTATGTTGAGTGAGAGAAGCCAGACACAAAAAGCCATATATGCGGGTACTTCAAAAGGTTCATGGAAAAATGAAATTAAAAGATAGTAGGAATCTTTCCATGAACTTCTTGCCTATTTTTTTTAGTACTTTCTTTGATGATGATGGTTTTTTTTCCATGAACTTTTTGAAGAGCTCTCATATTGTATGATTCCATTTATAAGAAATGTAGGGGCCGGGCCGGTGGCGCACTGCTACGGTGCGCCGCTTGAGAGCGTGGTGGCGCTCCCGCCGAGGGTTCAGATCCCACATACAGACCGGTTCCCGCTCACTGGCTGAGCGAGGTGCGGGCACAGCACCGAGGTTTGCGATCCCGTTGCCGGTCCCGGTCCGGTACGGGGGCGACACTGAGGGTTGCGATCCGTTGCCGGACACGAAAAAAGACAAAAAAAAAAAGGAAAGAAATGTACAGAATAGGCAAATCCATAGAGACAGAAAGGAGATTAGGGAAGGGAGAAATGGGGAGTGACTGCTAATGGTTTCCATTTGGGGTGATAAAAAAGTTCTGGAACTAAGTAGTGGTGATGACTGCACAACCTTGGGAATACACTAAAATCGAATTGTACACTTTTAAAAGGTTAAAACAGTAAATTTTATGCTGTGTATTTTGTCACATTTTTTAAAATTAAAAAAAAGGAACAGGAGCAAGGAGACTAGCGAGGAAGCTGTTGCATTTAACCCAGGCCCTGCTACTATGGGCCCCGCCGGTCATGGCAGAGGTGCTGAGAGTCAGGGTTGAAGGGTGGGGAGAGTTCAGGGGCTCTTTTGTGCCCCGTGACTCATAGCCCACGGACACTCTCAAACATGACACCTCTTCCCTGGCCCAGCACCTGAAAGGGGACCCAGGTGGGGGTCATGGCAGAGGTGCTGAGAGTCAGGGTTGAAGGGTGGGGAGAGTTCAGGGGCTCTTTTGTGCCCCGTGACTCATAGCCCGCGGACACTCTCAAACATGACACCTCTTCCCTGGCCCAGCACCTGAAAGGGGACCCAGGTGGGTATCACGACCCATCTTGCAGGTGGGGAAACAGGCTCAGAGAGCTGCCTGGGGCATGCAGCATGCCAGGGGCAGAACTGGGACTGACCCAAGGGGAGGGAGGGGGAAGAGGAGTGGGTGGACTCTAACCTCTGACTTGAGCCCATTCCTCAGGGCACAGGGGGGTTTTCCTCAGGATCAGGGGAGGCTGAGTCTCCCAAGAGGGGCCTCGTCCCCATGGAGGAAAACTCCATCTACTCCTCCTGGCAGGAAGGTGAGTCTGGGGAGGCAGAGGGGCAGCCTCAGCGCCACCACACCCAGGGCTGGGTTCTGTGGGGGATCCATGGGCACGGCCCTCACGGCCCTCACGGCCCTCCCGGCCTGCAGTGGGTGAGTTTCCGGTGGTGGTGCAGAGGACAGAGGCTGCCATCCGCTGCCAGCTGAAAGGGCCCTACCTCCTGGTGCTGGGCCAAGACGCCATCCAGCTGAGGGAGGCTTCCATCCCCCAGACCCTCTACATCTGGCCCTACCGCTTCCTGCGCAAGTTTGGCTCAGACAAGGTGAGGTGCTGGGAGGCCACCCCACCTGCGGGTCTCTACAGGGAAGGGTGGTGGGTGGCCAGTGCCCTCAGCTGCTGATCCCCGCCTGTGTTGCCTGTACCCAGGGTGTGTTCTCCTTTGAGGCTGGCCGCCGCTGCGACACGGGCGAGGGACTCTTTGCCTTCAGCAGCCCCCGTGCCCCTGACCTGTGCAGGGCTGTGGCCGCTGCCATCTCCCGCCAGCGGGAGCAGCTGCCAGAGCAGGCCGGACCCCGGCCCTGCCCGCTGCCGCGGGCCACTTCTCTGCCCTCCCTGGAACCCCCCGGAGAGCTGCAGGAGGTGCCTCCAGGGCCCGAGCTGTCCACCTCCAGGAGGGCACGTGTGGCTGAGCCTGGGCCGCAGAGCCTGCCGCCGCTGCTGAGCCCCATGCCCGATGAGCCAGCGTCCGGGCTCTACGCCTCAGTGTGCAAGGGGGCCAGTGGGCCCCGGACCGCTGCCGAGCACCTCTATGAGAACTTGTGCATGCTGGAGGCCAGCCCCATGCTGACCGATGGAGGCCCTGAGGCCCGGGAGGGCCCTGGCGGCCACAGCCCCTTGGCCAGCCCCATCTACCACAACAATGAGGACCTGAGCTGGCCCAGCTCATCCCATGACAGCCGCCTGGAGGCCCAGTACCGGCGGCTGCTAGAGCTGGAGCTGGATGAGGCCGGGGGCACTGACCGTCCCCGTGCTCAGACAGCCTTCAAGGCCAAGCTGGTGACACTGCTAAGTCGCGAGCGGAGGAAAGGCACTGCCCCCTGTGAACGGCCCTGAACGGCCGTGAGGAGTAGCAGAAGAGAGAGAGGTGCCCTTTCTGGGACAGGAGGGTGGGCCAGCAGGGAAACAATGGGCACCTGCAGACACATCCCCAAGTCCCCTAGGGCCTGCAGGGACAGGCAGGTGGCCTGGGGAGGACTCCACCCCGTCCTTCCTGCCCAAGTGTACAGTGTGGATTCGCTGATAATAAAGACCTCCTGCTCCAGCTCTCCCTTGGTTCTGCCTTGTGGCCCACAGTCCGCACCTCGTCACTTCAGCTTCTGGCAGAGGTGCTCACAGGAACACAGACCCACACTCACATTCATTGTCGCAAACACCAGTGCCCTGTGCTGGGCTCCGGGGACACAAATGACCTGGGCATGACCTCTGCCACCAGTGGGCTCAAATCCTCCCAAGCAGACAAAGGGGATGCAGATAGTTAGGGCTCTGTGTGGTCCTGTGCAGCAGGAATGACACCAACAGTCAGGTGGAGGGAGATGTGAGGCTTGCTGATGGGAGAGGTGCCCTCTGAATTGAGCTGGAAGAGCAGGCAAGGCTCCACCAGGCGGGCAGCGAGCCCAGCTCTCCAGGCTAACGATGGACATGGGGGTGCTCCAAGGGGCCCTGGGGCTCTGCAATGAGCTGGGTCTCATCCTTAGGGGAGGGACACAGTCAGAGTCAGGAGGGATCAATGTGGAGGCCGAATTTGAGGGAGCCAAACTGGAGACCAGAAAGCCTGAGCTGGGGAGGAGGTAATAGGGGATGGGAGGATGGGATGAGGGGCAAATGGAAGGAAGCTCAAAGATATGCACACCCAAAATACTGTTCCTAGCTAGAACTCAAACATTGGCAGATACTGCTGGGAACCTTGAGCCTCAGTTTCCTCAGCTATAAAACAGGATAACGATGAAATTACGTATCAGTCCTATGCCTTCATTAGAGTCATACTGCATGTCTACCCTGTGCCAGGTGCTGGGGGACACGGCACGTTCAGGACAGCCTCGATCCTGCTCTCGGGGAGCCAACATTCCAGGGGGACATAAGCAAGTTCCTTGAAGACTTTAGTGCCTGCTTTCTTTCCCCTTATCTCCTCATGCTCCTCTTGTCACCATCTTTGAAGCCATCCATGCACACAAGTCTCATGCCTCCAAGGATCTGGCCTGTTGGTCCCTTGACCTCAGTGCCACCTCAGCTGCCCACATCCTCAGCACATCCTGAGCCTTGTCTTCATGAGAGTGATGCTATTTTCACAATCTTATTCCCAAGCATCCTCGGGCCACCTCCTCTCCTTCCAGCTCACTTCCACTAGCATGGCCAGTCCTGCTCTTCTATAGCCACATCGGCCTGTGGCGTCTTCGAGGCCCTTGTCCACTGTTCCATCCTTGTCCCACTTGGATTCTGTGCTCTATCCATGGAGTCACTCCCTTGTCTCTCTCCTTCTATCTTATTTTTCTGGCAAAGTCCCCACTTTCTGGTGAACCCAACTCTCTTCCAAGCCTGCACCCTGGCAGCTACCTACAGCCAGAGAAATTCATGTAAGCAGGCTGACTGTGTCCTATTTAACAATATGATTGCAAACCTCAAACAGAGAGCTCTCCACACTCCCCAGAGAGCCTGTGTCCTGGAGTGGCAGCTTCTCTCCTCCCCAAGATCTTCAGCCCTTCTCTCCATTGCCACCCACTAACCTGGCAGACATACTAGGGAAATAGCAGTCAACAGAAGTGAACATCTTCAACCTCCCTCCACCGCATCTACAAATGTGCCAGTATCTGCATCCATCCTCTCCCTCCTGCCCCTACCACGGAATAAGTGCCTGTCCCCAGCATGTGCTCTGATCTCACCACCTCTCACCATCTCCTCGGAGATTGACAAACTGAGTTGTCCCCTCTCTCTCCTGGACCCATTCATTCTATCATCATCATCATCATCATTTCCAGCTACCCACAAACATGCTCTAATTTCACATCTTTAAAGAAACCTTCTTTGACCTCATACGCCCCTTTAGCCCCTCCTCATTTCTCTGTTCCTCTTCACAGCGAAACTCCTCAAAAGAGTTGTTGATTACTCTCATTTATACTTTCTCTCCTCCCAGTCTCCCCTTCATTCCCAGAGTCCATTACATGCTTCTTGTCAGAGTCACCAACCTCCTTGTTCTCAAAACAAAAGCAATCTGGACTCCCTCAACTTCTCAGCAGCATTCAACTTCATGAAACACTGTCTTTACTTGGTTTTCCTCCCACCTCACAGATCTCTCCTTTCCAGCCTCTTTTGCTGTCTTCTCTGTTGGAGTTCTTCCCAGGGTTCTAGCCTCAGATACAGTGCAGCTCAAACCTGGCTACACACAGAATCACCTGGAAGTCTTTTTTAAATGTTCACGCCTGGGTCTGCATCCAGGGCCTCTGCTTTCATCAGTCTGGGCAGGTGGGGCCTGATCATCAGTGTTTGTTTTTTCAGTTTCCCAGGTGATTGTGGTATGCATCCAGGACTGAGAACCCCTGGCCTATACATAAGCCAGTCAGTCTCCAGGTTTCAAAGCCCATCTAAGTGCTGATGACTCCCACAGTTGTATCTTCAGTGCATGCCTCTCCCCTGAGTTCCAGATTTAAGAATCCAACTGCATGCTAGACATTAGGATGTCTAAAAATATCTCCAAATTTAATGTGTGAAGGGAGGTTGGGGGAAAGGGGGGCTCCCTGTGGCACTGTTCCAGGGTGTGTATGGCCACAGAAGGCCTAAAAGGATGGGGAGACAGATTTTGGCCTTACTTATGCAATCACTTCCTGATGGGTAAAGTCTTAGAGCAAACTGAGGCCAAGAGGCTCCCAGTCAGGGTGGTGGCTGCAGAGACCCCTTCCCTCCTCTGCATAGTGGCAACCCTAAGCCCAGCTCTGCCACCTCAGCAAATCCTAGGACACACTGGAGGTTACCCAGAGAGTCAGGGTCATGGCCAGAACTGGAACCCAGGACTCTGGGTACCTGGTCTGGTGTCCTTTCCTCCATTACAAATCTAAGCTTCTTTATTTCATAGCTATTTCTGGGATGTTCCAACAAGATTGTGGAAGAGAAAGTCCTTGGAAACCTCCAAGACTCCAGGGACCTCGCCAAGAAGCTGCAGGAGTTCAGCCACCAGGGGGCGCTGTGTCTCAGTCTGGGTCCTGTTCCCACCCAGGGGCTGCCTGTGCTGTAAACCCCTCCATCCAGGTCGAGCCCTGCATCTGCCCAAGGAATGGGACCCTCAGGTCCTCTATGCTGGAGGACTGCCAGGACCCCTCAGTCTGGGTCCTGTTCCCACCCAGGGGCTGCCTGTGCTGTAAACCCCTCCATCCAGGTCGAGTCCTGCATCTGCCCAAGGAATGGGACCCTCAGGTCCTCTATGCTGGAGGACTGCCAGGACCCCCAGGCTGCCACTTCTTCCTTTGCTCATTTGCTGTTTCACTTTCTCAATCCTTCTTTCCGTCATCTGTTCATTCACATCCACTATGTGCAGGTACTGGGGAAATGCTGGTGGACGAAACACACAAGCCCCTGCTCTGATGGGACTGACATTTCTAGTAGGGCCAAAGAATGATAAAGAAATAAACGACATAATGTCATATTGGAAAGTGCTATGGAGAAAAATAAAGCAGGTAAAGGCCTAGTTTGCAATGCAGATGAGGCATTGGGGGATTGCTGTTTTGGACAGGTCGATCAGGGAAGGAGGCACCATCTGAGCAGAGACATGAGCAAAGTCAGAGAGACTGTTGCTGAGATATCTGCAGGAAACTGTCTCAAGCAGAGGGGACAGCAAGTGGAAACGCCCTGAGGCAGGAATATGCTTGGCACATTGGAAGAAGGGTGAGAAGGCCAGAGTGGCTGAAGTGGAGTGAGCATGTGATGGGAGGCTGAGCCAGTTTATTAGTGTTGTGTAGGTCTTAAGGACTTTAGTTTTATTTTAGGTGCAATATGAGCCTACTGGAATATTAAAAACTGAGAGTGATATGGTGTGATTTCTACTTTTAAAATATCACTTTGGTGGCTGCATAAAGAATACTCTTGAGAGGGAAAGGGTGAAAGCAGAGAGACTTGTTAGGAGGCTGTTACAGGTGTTCAGGCACAAGATGACAGTAGCTGGGACAATGGCAGCAGCAGTGATGAGACGTAAAACATTTTGAAGGTGGAATTTGCAGCCTGGGGAACGACAGAGAAGAGAAAGGAAAAATAACTTCATAGTTTCTGCTGAACCAGTTGGATGAATGGTGGTGCCATTGACTGAGTTGAGGGAGTTAGGCAGGTGGAAAAATCACGAGTTTGAGGACTGCCTGGTTAGCTCAGTTGGTTAGAGGACAGCCTGGTACCACCAAGGTCAAGGGTTCAGCTCCCCTTACCAGCTAGCCACAAGAAAAAAAAAAATCAGAAGTTTGAATTGGGACATGATGGTTTGAGTTATCTAGTAGGCATCTAGACAGGCTATCTGGAGTTCTGAGGGGGAGAGGTCAGGGCCAGCCGTATAACTTTTAGCATATAGGTGTTACTGAACGCCATGGTACAGCATGGGGTCTTAGGGAGAGTGTGGAGAGAGGAGAGATCAGTAGTCAGGAGGTGGATAAAGAGCCACCAAAAGAGGTGGAAGAGGAAAGGCCAGTGAGTTAAGAGGAAGCCCTGAAGCCAGGGGAAAAGGGAGTTTCCAGGAAGAGGGAGTGATCAACCTGGAACAGTGCTGTCCTAGACAGGGCAGGATGAAAGCTGAGAACCACCATTGATTTGATGACCTGGAGGTCATTGGACATCTTGAGAAGAGAGATCTCAGGGGACTGGTGTGGACAAAGCCTGACAAGTGGGTTCAAGAGAGAACTGGAGGAAAACTCGTGGAGACGGGATAGATAGAGAACTCCTTGGAGGAATTTTACTCTCAAGGGGAGTAGAATTAAAGGGCGGTAGCTGAAGAGGGATGTAGGATCAAAAGGTGCCATCTTTAATGAGAACTCTTAGCAGTTTGTGTAATGAGGGGAATGATGCAGAAGAGTGAGGAATGCGAGGACGGTGGAGAGGAGAGAACGGCAGTAACCATGTCCTAGAAGGAGCTCAGGGACGCGACCACAGAGCAAGTGGAGGGTGGACAACTGTTCACTCACCCGAACACTCGCTATACTCAATTTTCCGCCTGTCACGGCTGCCCGGGCTGAGCCCCGGGGCAAAAAGGGGCCAAAGCACAGCCCGCTGTGGAGTGAGGTGGAACAGGACGCAGCC